AGTCGAACAAGTGGACCAATAATGCATGTGTGGCATGCGCAAGACGTTTGCGGAGGTGGCCAAGTCAGCACTGTCGGGAGGTTCGAGCAGTGCGCCCAACGGCCCCGCCCAGAACCCCGTCAGCCAGCAGCTCGCCGAGGTGGCCGCCAAACTCCAACGTGCCACGGCGGGCGCCTCGATAACGACGACGATGACCACCCCTCCGCCCTCGGCCCCGACAGCGCCGCCAGCGGAGGACCAGCCCGTGGCCATGCAGATCGAGACGGTGCAGCCCAATGCCCCCGCGCGGCAGCAGTTGCAGAGCTCGACTGCCCAGCTCGAGAAGGCCCTCGCGGCCCTCGAGGGCCAAGGAGATGCAGTACGGAACCCGATAATGATGCAGATCGCGGAGAAGACGAAGAAGATGCTCGGCGAGTTGGCCCCACCGAAGCCTGTGGGGAAGCGGCTCGACGGCGCCCGTGCGGCCCTGGAGCGCGCGATCAAGCGCCACCAGGCTGCCGACGAGAGCGTCGCACTGGCGCTGGCGGCTCAGGCTGCCGCGTCGGAGGAGGTGATGAAGCTGCGCGAGGATGTGCGCCAGCTCGAGATCGAGCGCGCTGCTGGGCGCGATACCACCATGCAGCCAGCCGGGCCCAACATGGACCAGCTGGAGGCGATCCTCGCGGCGGCGGTCGACGAGCTCAAGGCCTGCTCAGCGGTCAACCCCTCGGCGATCGACGAAGCCACGCAGCAGTCCAGATAATTGTTCGAGAAGTTCAAGGTGATCCTGGAGCTGGCCCACAGCGTGGAGGCTGCGCAGGCGGAGCCTGCTCGGCGCATGGAGGGCGATCAGCCCCCACAGGATGGGACTGCAGGCAGACGCTTCGAGGCACTTGCGAGGCAGGCAGAAACCTCTCACACACTTCGGTTTCGTGCGCAAGACGATTGGCGACAAGCCGAAAGGCACCGTCTCGGCCTCGGGGCTTCCCATCAAAGGCAAGGTCGGCAGTGCTGCAGCTTGACGGTTGCATCGGCCAATGTGAACACACCCCTCCCGTGGCAGGAAAAGTGCTCGTACGCAAAGGTTGCGAATGCATGCGTGCTAAGCACAGTGCAGTTGCTTGAAGATCAATTTTGCGCTGCTGAGCTGGATGTGATTGCGCTGCAAGAGGGCCGCGCGGACATGTCAGTTAGCAAAGGCGGCACGTTGTACACCATGATGTGTGCCGCTGCCTGTGAGGGCGGATCCTGTGGTGTGCAGATTTGGGCACGGCATGGGCTCACAGTCAAGGCGTGGGGGGCGCCCTCCGCACGTTTCATGTTTGCCGTCCTGTCGAAAGAGGGTATCGACTTCGGTATCATTTCCGCCCATGCTCCCCACCTTCGAGCTCCCCCTGCTGATCGCGCTGCGTGGTGGGGCTCTTTTGGCACCCAGGTTTCCGCACGTCGGAAGGCCTATTCCATCCCGTGGTATGTATGTGCTGAAACGAACGGACGTGTTGGGTCATTTTCATCTCCCATGATCGGCACGACAGCCCCTAGCTGTGAGGACTCCAATGGAACGCATATCCGTGAGTTTGCTGATCAGCATCATAGCATGATTGCGAATGCGTGGGGCCCAGATGCTGGCCATGCCTGGACATCACCTTGCGGTGCGCAGGCCCGCACCGAGTTCATTGTTGTTCCTGTGGGGCAGTTTGCTGATGTTGAGTTCTGTCGCCCAGATTATTCCCTCGACTTGGCCATGAATGCTTGGGCGGACCGCAGCGCTGTGGCTATGGCTACCAAGTTTTGGTCAGTGCCGTCGGCGACGCGCTCCACTCCCCCGTTCAGACTCAACGAGCTTCACCTGATGTAGCCGCATCGCGTGAGCCTTTTCCAGCAGCTGATGTGGCTCTTCCCGCGCGTCGACGGAGGCATGCACATCGATGACCACCTGGAGCTGCTGAACACCTACGTGCGCTGGGCAGGCCGCTTTGTCTTCGGTGGCCCGAAGAGGCAGCCTCGACAGAGGTGGATCAGTGCTCAGGTGTGGGAGTTCATCCAGCACGTGGCCCCTCTACGTCGAGCGAGGCACGCAGCGCTCCTGCAGGAGCGTGCAGCCTTTCAGCGCATGTGTCTTGCAGCCTGGCAGTCAGTGGCATGTCTAGGTGCCCGCGCACGGCGTCGAGAGAAGCCTCGACCCTGGTTCTTTTCACGGCCATGCGGTTGTTCAGGACACTCTGATGCGTAGATGTCGCTGGCAGGGCGCCAGAGCCCATGCCGCAACCTTCTGGTTGCAGTGGTGTGCCAAGCCCACCCTCGAGCGTGACCGTGCTGCCTTTTTAGACTCAATGGCGCTGGCCGCCTCATCTGCTCTCAGTGAGCACGATCCAAGGCAGGCCGACGCGGTTGTGAGAGCGCTGAGCGGCACTCGACATCGGGCCACACCGCGTTTTTTCTCACAAGACGGCTCGGTGGTGTCAGGCCCCCCTGCTGTGCGACGGCGCTGGCCTCAGCATTTCGCTGATGTCCTCGGAGGCGTTCCCATTGGCGAGGCCGAGCTCCGTGAGCCTGAGCGCCCGCCGGGGAATGCCCCCTTCCGCCCTGGATGTCGGTCCAGCGGCTACCCGCATAGCGTTCAAGGCTCTTGTCGGGGGAGCGTAAGACCCGGGTTTGCCGGGACTCGGGTTCGCCATCGTTTTTTGACGACCGCGACTCGGATTTTGACGAGGAGGAGTTTCGTGGGATGTCTGCAGCGGGAGGCCTCGTCAAAATGCAGGCTCGGCCTCGTCATTTTTTTGACGACCTCGTCGGGGATTTCCGAGTCCCCCGTACCCGGGTCTTACGTCTCCCCGATCTTGGCCGCAACAAGGGTGTTGGCTATAACCTGACCCCAGCAGATCTCCTCCAGGCAGGCGGCGGCGCGCTCGCCTGCAAGTTTGCGACGGTCAATCTGCGCGTGCTGCAGAACGGCTCATGGCCGAAGCAGTGGCGTGGAGGCCGCGTCCAGGAGGTGTACAAAAAGAAAGGGGACCCCTGAGACCCTGATTGTAGTCGTGGGATCTTGTTGGCCGACCATTCAGGCAAGGGCCTGGCTGGGATGCTGAAGGCCCACCTGGGCCCCGCGTGCGTCGACCGCGTGCCACTCGCACAGTTCGGCGCTGCTCCCAAGCGAGGGACATATATAGCCGCGTTGCTCATTCGCGCGGCCATGGAGGTAGCGCATTTGCGTGACTTCTCTGCAGCCGCGCTTTTTGTTGATCTGGTCAAAGCGTTTGACCGGGTGCTGCGTGAACTAGTTCGGATGGGGGCCACGCCCCCCCCCCTGACCGTGCTGCTCGTTTGGCGTGCCTGAAGAGGCTGGGCGTAGCTGATGGCGCAACCGACTGGATCCTCCAGTACCTTGATGAGCGCGGACACCCTTTTGCCCAGTGGAATGTCGACCCAGGAGTCGCGGACCTATGCCAGTCGCTGCATGCTGGTGCGTGGTTCGGAGTGTCGAGGGCGGAGAGTCGGGTGGCGAGTCGGACGGCGGGGGGGGGGGGGGGGGCAAGGCTGTGTGTTTGGCGTCTCACGTTCAATGCAGTATACTCGATTGCTCTCGACTTGATGTCGTGGACTCTCGAGCGCGCAGACATCACTCTCCGTCTTCCTGTCCCTGAGTCCCCGTTTTGGGCTCCTCCAGAGGCCTCGGTGTATGAGTCTGAGACTGTTTCAGTAGTTGACGCGGCGTCTGTCGATGATGAATGTTTTGTGCTGATGTCTGCGTCGGGGGCTGCCCTAGACAAGGCCATCGATGTTTTGCTCGAGCAGCTTTTTGGGGTCTTTGAGAGATTCCATTTGTCCATCAACTGTAAGCCTGGAAAAACGGAGGCCCTGGTAAAGTACCGTGGGCGCCATTCTGTAAAGTTGCGTGAAGCCCGTCGGTGTTCTGATGGCAAGTTGCGTCTCCAGGTTCCAGGCCGCCCTGAGCCCGCGATTGATGTTGTAGAAAGCTATGTACATCTGGACACGCACGCGTGTGTTGACGGGTCGTGCTTCAAGAATGCTGCTCATTGATGTGCGAGTGCGATGGCAGCGTATGCCCCGCTGTCCTCTAAGATCTTCGGTGCTCCGAGTGTGACAAGATCGCGCAAGCTTTGCTTCATGAACACGCTAGTCATGTCAAGATTGCTGTTTCTTTGTTACTGTTCCTGCCCCGAATGCCCTGAAACAGCTGAACGGAGTGTACCTGAGAGTTTTACGCCGTATCTTAGGCGACTCCAGATTTCCTACAGATGTTCAGTTCTCTGGTCGCGAAGTGCGCGAACAGTTGCAGCAGCCGTCCATTGATTGCCTGATCTGTCGAGGCCGCCTGCTGCTTTGGGGGGGGGCTTGTGCGAAATCGTCCTCGCACCCTCCTTGCCCTCCTCCACGTTCGAGTGAAACACAAGTCTCTCCCATGGATGCAGCGTTTGCCCGAGGGCGCAGCGCTGCTGAAGCGCGCCGTGATGCCCCCAGATGTCCCGCCCCCGCTTGAGGACCCGAGGAAGTGGGAAGGTTTGCTGCAGGATGAGAAGTCCTGGAGTGTGCTCGTCAGTCGCCTCGATTTTGTCGCATCGGCGTGTGACCCAGCCCCCCCATCCGACCTCTTCCCCTGTCCATCCCAACGCGTGGATTTGCGAGCAGTGCCAGACCTCTTTTGCGTCTGAACGTGCTTTGCGGAGCCACCGCCGTGCCAATCATGGTGAGCGTTCTGTCCTCCGAACCCTTGTCGGATCGTCGGTGTGCCCGTGCTGCAAGACTGATTTCCAGCAGAGGCTCCGATTGTTGGGAAGAACAGAGCTTGCAGCGTGGTGGTAACATTCGTGGGAGACTCTCCGGTGGGGGGGCGGGTTAGCATGCCATGCGGTGCGGCAGAAGAGGCAGCGAGATCCGTAGCCATTTTGGCTCAAGGATCGCTGCAACTCTCTGCTGCCACTCTCATCGCCCAGGCCCCTCCTGGGACCGCTCTGGACCCGCCGCTTCTCTCAGATTTTGAGTATCTCGTCGGCATTGCCATGTCGATCGACCCAACCAGCACCGAGGCCGCATCCATGGCGGCCATCAACGATGTCGCGACGTGGGCCGGACTCGTGGGAGAAGGTCCGACATCGGCCAAGGGGAGCCTGTACACCCTCCTAGGTGTCACAGGCGCGGAGCACCCCAGGGTCCTGGGGGGGATCCCCATGGCCGATTTCGACGCGATCATCGACCGCTGGGTCATCGACAACAGAGGCGAAGGCGGAACAGCCGCGCCACCCTCGCCGGCTGAGAAAAGCCAAGGTGGGTTGTTGGGGCGAGCGTGCCGCGTTCTGACCGGGATGCAGGCTTCCGCCACCCAGGTGCAGGCCATAACCATCGCTGGCGGTGGCGGCGGCGGCGGAGGAGGGGGCGGCGGTGGGGGCGGCGGCGGCGGAGGCGGCAGAGGAGATCAAGCGGGGCGAGGCCTTCGCAAGGTCAAGATGTCCATCGTCATCGACCAGTCGGACGACAGTGAGGTCGAGGTCCTGGACAGCATAAAGGTTGCGGAGGCGTACGCGCGCTACCACGCGCGCATCGGCGCCTTCCCACCAGCAGACGAGGAGCTCTCGGCCGAGCAGCTCTCGTGTCTCCATTCGTTACTCGAGAACGGGAGGCCCCCCTACACCGACATGGCGGTCTGGGGGCCGTCCTACCACAGGCTCCAGAAGAAGATCCGCCTCAAGGGGTCCCGGCTGCACCCGTCAGGCACGATCACACCCGTGGAGTTGTACGGCCCTTGCGACTACGAGACGTGGGCCGAGTGCTACGCCGTGTTCAAGACAGGGGCCCTTATGTTCAACCAGCTCACCCCCGCGCGCCTGGACGCCTACGAGAAGCACATCAGGCACTACCACGAGCGCTACGGGCGCGACCAGTGGGCCATCATCTACCAGGCGGACGTCAGGGCGCGTCTGGAGCTCAGCGAGCGGCTCCGCAGGCGCGGCCAGGAAGAAGCGTCGCGGGCCGCTGCCACCGGCAAGCTCCACGACTTCGATCCGCGAGCTCCTTGGGAGTGGGTCTGGAAGCACCTCGTCGAGGAGAGCTCGTTCTGGCACCGCGAGGTGGAGGAGCCTTGCCTGCTCGTGCTGGCCAAGACGAAGTCCCTCGGCACAATGCTTGAGAACGATGCGCCCGTCGAGGGCCACCGGGGCAGCGGCGCCAGTGGACAGAGCCAGGGCGCCAACAAGAGGAAGTCCAAGGCACCGTCGCAGAGGGACAGCGCGACGCCGCCCCCGGAGAAGGTGCGCCGCGTCGACGAGCAGGGTCGGTACACGCACAACCGGAAGGGCGCAAAGCTATGCGCCGACTTCCAGAGCGGCAGGTGCCAAGATGGCCCCATTACCGGCGTGTGCCCGCTCCAGCCGGGGCACCGGCACCAGTGCAACAGGTGCCTCTTGCCCACGCACGGCGGCGAGGCCTGCAAGTCGGGCGCGAAGGGCGGGGGCCGCGGTCGGGGCCGCGGAGGAAAGGGCAAGAAGTGAAGTGACACGGCGGCCCCGCGGACAGGACCGGCGTCCGCGGCGAGCCCGACACAAGAGCCGGCACGAGCGCCCTCGAGGCGCGAGGCAGCGGGGACCAAGGATTGTGCTACACATCATCCCGCGCCTCTTCCTGGGGATGCTGGCAGGGGCGCAGGTGACCCATGCTCTAATGTGAAGCGACGACGCCTGGCAAGGCCGGTTGGGGCCGAGTCGCTGAGTGGAGCGTTGGGAGTGCGCGCCCCAACCAGCATAGATGCGCTCCCCTACGCCCAGCACGATTTCCTGCATCTCCCGAGCGGGTTGGCCAGGGGCCAGAGACACCTGCACGTCTTCAGCGGCCGGCGCGGCCGCGCTGGCAGCTTCGGCGAGGCGGTCAGGTCGATGGGCGGCGAATGCGTGGAGGTGGACGTCTGCAACGGCCCCGACTTCGATTTGCTGAATGAGGACATCTTCGGGGCTGTAGTCAGCCAGATCAGGAGCGGCGGTTACCGCGGCATATTGCTGGGGCCGCCTGCTTTCACGAAGACGGCCACCCTGAGAACAGGCAGCGGCGCCGAGAGATATGGCCGGAAGCACCTCAAGCCGAGCGAGACGAAGCAGGTCAAGGAGGGCACGCTGCTCGCCTTGCGCAGCCTGTCGGTGATGGAGGAGGCGGCGACCGTCGAGCGCCCGGCCATCCTGGTGCAGCCGCTGCTGGAGGACGACCCCGAGGCGATCAGCATGCTGAAGCTGGACGAGTTCGTCGACTTCCGCGAGCGCGAGCCGACGTGCATGCTCACGCTTTCCGCGCGTCCCGGCGCAGACGGGGCCCGCGGCGACAGGATGATGTCACTGCTGACGACGCGAGTGGACTGCTCGGACCTGTCGCCGCGCAGCCTGCCGCGGGCCGGCCGCGAAGAGCACTCCCGCCAGGCGGCGGCCGCGCAAGCAGACGCAGTTGGTCTCAACAAGTACTTCGCCGTCAAGCTTTGCTTGGCTGCTGGCGTGCCTGCGCCGGCGGCAGCGCAGGCGGCGAGCCCGGCCGCGTTCGCGAGGACGGGCTACTGGGGCAACTGCTTGATCAGAGTGGAGCGCGGCGCCGGGTCCAAGACAGAGCAGATGGACTCGATAACGGTGAAGCCGTGCATCGACTTCAGACACTCGCTCAAGGGGCCCAGAAAACTCACGATGGGCCACTCCAAGGAGGAGGACAACCAGAAGTACGTCGGGGGCATGAGGCATCCGAGGCGCAGCCCGGAGTTCATGAAGTACTACGGGACTGTCAGCCTGATCATCCGTAGGAAGATCGATGATTATCTCAACGACCACCCGGTGGCGGAGCGCCGGTGTCTCGAGGCCCTCGGGAGCGAGGACTTGGGTGCAGGGCCCGACGAAAACCACCAGCGGGAGATTCGGAACATCATCGGCGCCTGCGTCCACGAGGCGAACCACGAGCCCGTGCAGGGCGAGCACTGCCAGTCGAGCATCCGGGCGCGCCTCCTCACGAGGTGGGCGGAGGCAGCGAACGACATAGACGCGATGCACGTCCGGGAGTGGCTCGTGGAGGGAGCGCCGGCCGGGATCGAGGTCGACATCCAGGATCCTGGTATCTTTCCGCCGGTGCACGGGCCCGACGACCGCGACGAGGGCGACCTGACGGAAACCCCAGACGCAGAGCTGAGAAACTACACCTCGGTTGATGGCGACCCGCACGCCGACCCGGAGGTGGAGCGGCTGAAGGCGTCGGGATTTGTCAAGACGTTCCACAGCAGGGAGGCCGTAGAGAAATACCTCGGCGGGCCGCCTCAGGTCAGCAAGCTGGGCATGATCACCAAGGTGACGAAGGCGGGCAAGACCAAGAGACGCCTCATTTTGGACTGCCGCGAGTCTGGCGTCAATGCCAGGGTCAAGCAGCGGCAGCGCATCGTCCTCCCTAGGCTGACGGACGTCATCGACGATGCGATGTTCCTCGCACAGAGGGCCGAGCAGCACCCGGAGATGGAGGTCGAGTAGATGATCTTGGATTTCACGGACTGGTTCTTCCACGTCCCGTTGCGGCCCTGCGAGCGGAAGTATTTCGTCGCGCACCGCAAGGGGTTGCTACCTCGTGTTCGTCACGATGGCCCAGGGCAGTTGCAACGCGTGGCCGCCATGCTGGCGAGGCTCACGCAGAGCATGTTCTCGCCGGAGGAGTGCCGCCAGCAGCTCTACGTGGGCGATCCGTGCACGACAGCGGTTGGCACCAGACCACAGCGGGATCGCATGTTCGCCACGATCATTATCGTGTGGGCCGCGCTGGGCATAGGTCTAGCCGACAGAAAGGCCTCTCGAGGGCATTCGGTGGAGTGGATCGGCGCCCGACTCACGGTCGAGGACACGCCGACGGAGCAGCGCCCCGGCGCGCAGCGCAGGAAGCAGGTGCGCGCCACGGCCAAGCAGGATATTTTCGATGACGTCGCGGAGCTCATCTCCAGCTTCCGGCAGCGGAATGTGATTCCGATCAAGGAGGCGCTGGCGTTCGTGGGCAAAGCCAACCACATCGCCGGGATCGTGGAGGCTTGGAGGCCCTTCCTGCAGGACGTGTGGGGCGCCATCGCCAGCAATAGGAGCGGCGCTGCCTCGAACGCCCCTGCTCGGTGCGTCTGGCGGAAGCAGATCGAGCACGTTTTGGAAGGGCTATCTGCATTTTACGCTGGATCCGCCGGCACCCTCTGCAGGGTGCACAGGGTCGACGCCTATTTCGGCCGAGGCTGCCAAGTAGTGATCACCACCGACGCGTCGCCCTGGGGATTGGGCGGCTACCTCAAGATAGGCAACGCCATCTTGGAGTACTTTTCGTCACCACTCACTGAAGAAGACGAAAAGCAGCTGGATACGCCGCGCGGGGACGCAGCAGGACAGCAAGTGTGGGAGGCACTCGCAATGCTGCAGGCCCTGCGTCTCTGGCGAGATTTCTGGCTGTCCGAGGGCGTGACGCTCGCGGCCACATCGGACAGCGTCAGCACGCTGACAGTGATCATGAAGCTTCGCAGCCGCGCCGGAGCAGCTGGGCTCGGCCAGATCGCTAGGGAGCTAGCGCTGGACTTCGGAGACTGCGCGTACAAGCCGCGCGTGCTCGAGCACCTGCCGGGCATCGCAAACGACACTGCGGACGAGCTTAGCCGTAGGGCGCAGCCGGGCCATAGGCTTAAGGCCCTAGCAGTGCTGAGCGGAGCGACAGAACGGCATCCCCTGAGAGGCAGCACGTTCTGGAAGGCCACTGCCGCCGCCGCTCGGAGCGGCATTGGGGGCGCAGAGGGGCAGCAGTAGCCGGCAGCGCAGCCCAGCATAGATCGCTCAGATGCGGGGCTGCCATATGCACTCATGTATTGTTTTCCTTAGTGCAAACTTGCCTTCGAAATAGATTCGCATCGTGATGGGGAGGGCGGTGCACGGCAGCACGCGCGAGAGTCGGGACATGCCGGGCTGCATGGGGGGCGCGATTTGCCCGCCATGCGTCGCCTGGGGGGGGGGGGCGGGATTTGTTGCCTTCCTCTTCCTGATCTCTTTCACCTCCGTGTTGCCCCACCTCTGCCTTCTATCCTATCCCCTATCCTTCGTGCGATCCGCCAGGCAAGTGGTCAGCGCTGCGCTGACCTGTTGCACCCGCCCACCTGTTGCGATCCGAGTCCGGGGCCAGAGCATCGGCCACGCGGCCGGGGCACCAGGTCATTGGGAGGGCTCCGCGCCTCAGAAGCGAGGTCGTTCACAGCGGAAGGGGCTTCGCCCGGCCGGGCGCGGCGTTAGGGGGAGGAGGAGGAAGGAGGGAGGAGGCTTCCAGCCTGCGATCTTTCGGTGTCGGCACTGTGTGGCGGCATCCTTGTTTTGATACTACCCCGTTGGCAGCCACTCAGACGCACTCACACTCAGATCGAGGCTACAAGATGTTGGCTTTCAGCCGACACGAGCCGTGGCCATTTTATGCGGCCCCCCGGGGGCAGGCTTTTAGCCGGCGCTGCGACGGTTCAGGCTTTCAGCCGAGGACGCCGGTGCAGCTAGCTCGTGCCCCCGGGCTCGGCTTTTAGCCGGCGCTCCATGGGCGGTGCAAGAGGGTAGGCTTTCAGCCGAAGGTCCCCTTGCAGCCGGCAGCGCATTCCTTTGGGCTGGCTTTTAGCCGGCGGCCCCAAGGGAAGCGGCAGGAGGGGGGCTTACAGCCGAGGATCCCTCCTGCGGCCGGGCGGTGCCCCTCGGGGCAGGCTTTGAGCCGGCGACCCCGCGGGTGGCCACGAGGGAGTATGATTGCAGCCGAAGATCCTCTCGTGGCCGGCGCGGCAACCCTGGGGCAGGCTCTGAGCCGGCGACCCCGCTGGGTGCTCGTAGGGATTGGCTTTCAGCCGCTCCCCCCCTTAGGGATTGGCTTTCAGCGAAAATCGTTCTTGACAAAACCCCCCCAGTGGGGGGGTTTTCCAGAAACACATTTTCAAGGCTTCTGGAAGCGAATTTCGTGTGTCACGAGATTCGGCCACGTTCGCAGGACAACGTTTGGGCGTGCCGGCCCATCCGCTATCGTTTTGTGCCGGCCCTCGTTTTCACGAGTTTCGGCCACGTTCGCAGGACAACGTTTGGGCGTGCCGGCCCATCGGCTATCGTTTTGTGCCGGCCCTCGTTTCACGAGCTTCGGCCACGTTCGCAGGACAACGTTTGGGCGTGCCGGCCCAGCGCTGTCCTGGCCACCGATCTCCCCAGACGGGATCTGGGAAGTACCCTGTTTGACAGGCGTGGGCTTTCAGCTCAAACATTGTGCTGCTGCGCAGCACCGCGCCCCTGTCGGGCGAACGCCCTCGCAGATGCAGGCCACGCGCGCCTCCGTAGCCACCTTGGACCGGACCGGATGGCCACGCGCGCGCGCCGCGGCGATGGGTGGCAAGCGGAAGCATCCTGGCTTTCTGCCGCGCGTTGACTATCAGGACGTGATGGCGCGCAGACGCGTCGTCGCGCCAATGGCGCCACTGATCACGGCGTCGCCGGGCGAGTCTGCAAGCACTCCCGCCGCCCGCACGGAGTGCACCGCTAACGCGCCCTCGGGATCCCGCGCTTGCGCCTCCGGACCAGCGCGGGCGGAGAGAGGCGACGCGCCGTCGGCGAACTTCACCCGGAGGGGGTCGCAACAGAAGGCGCTGGAGGCGACGCAGGACGAGCCCTCCAGGAGAGCGGCTCTCGGGGCGCTGCAGAATGACTTCGTTGCGACCCTCGGCGAGAGGGTCGGTTTCATCACTATTGAAAACTTGGGAGCTCTTCCATGGGGCCTGGTTTGGCGAAGGCGTCCCAGTCGTGCCGCTCACGCCCGAGAAGCTGCAGGCGGTCGGCGCCGTATTCAAGGCAGGGCGGTACCGGTCCTTCCAGAATTACCTCGGGCGCATCAAGGAGCGGCACGTCGAGGAGTACGGGGAGTGGGGCCCGGCCCTTGAGCTTGAAGCTAAGCGTGTCGTGCGGTCGGTGCTGCGCGGGATAGGGCCTGGCTCGCAGAGGGACCCCTTGGACCTCGACCTCATCGTGGAGGCGGTGAGGGCAGGCTGCGTCCCCGACGACTTGCCCGTCGTCGCTGGGGGGCCGATCGGGCCAGCCAACTTGGCTGCCCTAGCGGTCTTCTTCCTCCTGAGGGAGATCGAGGCGTCTTTGGCCCTGTGCAGGAACGTCAGCGTCGACCTCGCGAACAAGCGGGTCACTTGGTTGCTCCCAGGGTCCAAGGCAGACCCGATGGCCTTGTCCACCTCGCGCACCTGGGCCTGCGTCTGCGCAGCGATGGCGCCGCAAGGGTGCCCGTACCATTGCGCGGTGAGCCAGGCAAGGCTGGTCGAGAAACACTTCGCGGACGCGCAGGGCAAGGTGCCGGACTCGATTCCTTTCTTCCCCACGCTAGCGGGAACTGCGCCTAGCAAGGAGGCCATCACGGCGACGTACGAGGAGCTGCACCGGCGCGCCGGGGCCCCCACGCACGACGACGAGGGCAACCGGTTGCTGGGGGGGCACTCTGCGAGAATAGGTGGTGCCAGGATGCTCGCCCGGACAGGGTTCCACGTCTACCTCATCGAGCTGATGGCGAGGTGGCACTCCCCCATGCTGCTCCACTACGCGCGGGAGGCCCCACTGCACCAGATTAGCAGCGAGTTCGTCGAGCGGCGCGCCATGAACAAGGTGAACGACACCATTCGTGACATCATGGCCAAGCTGGAGTGCCTTAACGCCACGCCGATCGAGGCGAACAGCGACCTGGCGGACCGCGCGCGCGCCTTGGAGGCCGCGCCGCGCGCGGAGAGGCATGGCAGGGCGGAGCACGTCAAGAATGACGGTTCCGGTGTCTGGCACCGTCTCGCAGTAGAGGGGCTGGGTATCCCTGCTGACCAGTGGCGCACTACGTGCGGTTGGCGTTTCGCTTTCCACAGGTATACTCTAGCCGCGGGCTGCTTGCAGCAAGGCGCAAAGCGCTGCGAGAAATGCTTCCCGCCTGCGGGCACAGAGCACGGACTGCGCGGGGAAGACTCAGACCCCGAGTAAGCCTGAGACGGATTGACATCGTCTGTCCGTCGCCTGGAGGCCAGTTGCTCTGGCGGCCTTGGAGCAACCGCAAGCGAAGGAAGAGGTGCGCCACGAGGCGGAAGGGGGGTGCTCGCTATAAGCGCGCCCCGGCGCACCATCTTCCCTATCCCAGCAGAGTGGCTCAATTGATGGCACCTTGTGTATAAAATCATCCATCTATCTCACATCCGTCTGCTCATTGGAGTCTGCGCAGTAACGGTCTGGACCGTCTGGGCGCCCTCCTAGTGCAGGGCGGGCGGGCGGCTCTTGAGTCGAGCGAAGAATGTTGGGAAGAACAGAGCTTGCAGTGTGGTGGTAACATTCGTGGGAGACTCTCCGGTGGGGGGGCGGGTTAGCATGCCATGCGGTGCGGCAGAAGAGGCAGCGAGATCCGTGGCCATTGTGGCTCAAGGATCGCTGCAACTCTCTGCTGCCTCTCTCATCGCCCACCCGCCCAC